CTGGCAAAGCAGCATTTTTGCGGATTCAACCTCAGACCCGCCTTCTGGATCCTGGATAGGACTTTATCCAAATGAAGGAGATGGTCAGTGAATGTACGGCTATAAATCAGTATATCATCCAAATACACCATACAAATGTGCCATGGCAGGCCCCTGAGAATGAGCTCCATCATGCGTTGGAAGGTGGCTGGCGAATTAGACAGTCCCATAGGCATGGCCCGCCACTGATACAGGCCCCGTCCGGTCGTGAAAGCCGTCTTCTCACGGTCCTCCTCAGCCACTTCCACCTGCCAGTAGCCATTTGAAAAGTCAAGTGTGCTGAACCAGACTGAACCAGCTAAAGCGTCCAGGCTATCATCCACTCGTGGGAGGGGGTGTGAGTCTTTGATCGTCACTGCATTTAGACGACGATAGTCAATACAGAACCTCCACTGCCCCCCTTTCTTTCTCACCAGCACCACTGGAGACGCCCAGGGACTACAACTCTCCTCCACCACGCCGTCTGCCAGCAGTTCAGCCACTTGACGTTCAATCTCCGTCCGCTTCTCAGGCGATGCACGATAAGCACGCTGCTTCACAGGGGGTGAGTCCCCCGTTCGGATGCGGTGTTTGATCAGCGTGCACTTGCCTGTGTTCCGGCCATCCAAATTGAACACCTCAGTGAACCCCTGAAGCAGGTCAGCCAGCTTGGCCCTTTGCTCAGCCGTAACAGGAGACTCCTCCAGGGAGACAGGGCTCACTGCATCTGGCGACACAGCTGGATGGTCATCCGCGACATGAGGTGGCCCGCAGATATCTTCCTCTTTGACGGGGTAGAACTCCCCCAGGTGTAGCCCCCGTTTGAGTTCAACTGCGTCCCCTGTGGAATTGAGAATGCGGGCTGAGGTCACACCGTTTCTCACACTGTTCACTGTACGAGCGACCACCAGTCCTGTCGTATCGGGAATGTTAGGCTCCAGGTAGCCCACAAAATCAGCAGCAGGCCAACCAGTCCCAGCAGACGTGAGAATATTCACCGGGACCAGAGCCTCACTCAATGGGGGAATGGTCAGAACATCAGCAACGGACACATTACAACAGCTAAGGACTAACTCACCACCCTAAAGCAGCGGCACAGAAATGTCCCATAGTTGTAACACACCTCGCCCCAAGTCCAACAATGCCCAGTTCGGAGCCAGGAAATCCAGTCCGAGCAGCACACTCTGGGTGGATTGCCGTAATACGTGGAAGGTGTGCTGCCAGTAGGTTGGGCCCAGCCTGAAGGTGATCTCACAGGTACCGAGTGTATCCAACATCTGTCCATTAATAGCCCGAGAATCGATATAGTTCTTTTTCATGGGCCTGTTTCGCAGAGCCGGGACTGACATACGGAAGTCCTCACTGATCAGGGAAACCGACGCCCCCGAATCCACTAACATTGGGACCTCGGTGCCTTCAACCACACCCCTGACGAAGGAAGTTGGGTGGTCAGTACAGTCCATAAGGGCTATTACATTGGAGAAGTCATGGTTTAAGGGGCCCCCTATAGGAGAGGCTGGCATTTGGGCCTCAATACCAGCTAATTGTCGTTTCCCTGACGGTCGTTAACCGTGTCCCGCTGTCGAGGCAGGAAGTGCACACCACGTCGTCTGGGCTCATCCTCCTGTCGGGCACGCCAGCTCGGGCTAGGACTCCTGCCTCCCGTCGGCCTAGGGGTGGAGGACATCCCTGGGCCACGAGGCTGAAAACCCCTTTGACGTGGGGGCTGCCCAGATTCAGGGGAGCGACCACGTTGTTCTTCCCTAGAACTCCTGGACCGGCAGCCCCATTCACCACAGGTGCAGTGACAGCGTTCCCCCGAGGGTGAGCGAATGCCTCGTCCCCTCAGGTCACTATTCCAGGCTCTCAGCCTCTGATTGTCCTCATAAAGTTCTCTCATTTCCATTCTCATGGAGTACATGTCCTCTGTTAGCTTCTCCACAGCTTTCTGGAGACCCCCGGGAACCGACACGGACTGGATAGATGGATTCTCACCACTGTAGCCAGCAGCACTCACATAATCTCTCTGTAGCGCAGCTCTAGCGTTCTCACAGCGCTCAGCCACGTGCAGCGCCTCCTCCAGGTCCGTGGCACCCATCTCCAGACACTTGGCCTTTAACGCCGGATCCAGACCAGCCAGAAAGCGTCGGAACTTCTCCTCCCTCTGTGCAACCTCACCATAGTCCGGAAAAGCCTCAACGACCAGCCGGCTCACGTCAGCAGCGTACACCTCCAGACTTTCACCAGGAGCACGCGCCCGGGCCGTGAGGCTGGCTCTGAAGCGGTCCATCAACTGCCTTTGTCCAAAAGCTGCCCCAAGTCTCTCCTTCATCATGGTATAATCCGACTTGATTGCTTCGGAGAGGCTGTCCCACAGCAGAAACGC